GCAGCGGGGACAAGACTCTGCCCTTGCTGCGGGGCATGGGCAGAGGGCATGGCCGCCATGGCACTGTTGGGCCGCTTGGGTGATCTGTGGTGGGCCGTGGAGGTGGTGGGTGGCCCAGCGGGCAGGGCGGAGCAGGGACAGGTGTGGGGGCGGTTTTTCGGCATTCGGTCTCTAAAAGGTTCGCCATCACTGATCTAGATGCTCCACTTTCCCCCCAGACTTTTGGGAAATACTGTCAATATTGGAAGTTTTTGGAAGCCCTTCTGACAGTTGTGAAGGAGCTGGCAAAAATGGATTTAACATGGTTGACAACTACCTTAAACTATGTGAAGTTACTGGCACATTTAATGAGGTATTTAGGTGTGGGCTAGATGTTCCTGAATTTCAGCTTGCAGCAACCTCAGCCACTGTGACAAGTTATGAAGGATTTGGGATATTTAAGCAACATATGAGTTGCAGGTTACTCCCACCTCGTATGCTTATTAGTAGTGTCTCCAGGTTTTCAAGTAAGGATCTTTCTCAGTCCCATGGGAAGACATCATTATCTTCTGTGTTCTGCATTGGTTAGATCAACCTGGGATATCCCATCCACTTCTGGCATTGTAGCTTAGATCATTAACAAATTGGAGGATGTCCAAAATAGAGCTATGGAGACAGCAAGGATCCTGGAAGGGAAAAATATTTGAGGAACAGTCAGAGGTATGACTGTGTTTAACCTAGAGAAGAGTACAGGAAGACACAATAGTTGTCTTCAAGTATTTGAAGGCGTGTCATGTGGAAATCAAGACAGTACAGTTCCAGAATATGGAATAGGAAGCAACGACTTTAAGTTATAATGAGTTATAAAATAGGAGCAAAACATATCTTAACAATTGTTCTAAAATAAGAGATGGCAAATTCTGTATGGTTAGGAGTGTTTAAATAGAGATTGAATTTGCTGGGGTTGCTATAGTAATGGGATTTTGCTCTGGGCAAGAATTGGATTAGATGATATCCCCGATCTTTTCTAGTTCTTATCTTCTGTGATTCTGTGTTGAAGATAGTACTAAAAACCTTTTGAATGCAAAGCAGAATCACTGTCCATGAGAGATCGGTCCTCCTTGATGTGGTGGAATAGATCTGGAGATTAGCAAAAAACAGTTAAGAAAGATCATTAAACCCTAGCATATTTTTCTTCTCTTTTTATTTCATTCTTTCTTTTCCCTTTCCTCAACTTCCATACAACGACCCCTCAGAGTCCAGCCCTTTGAATGAAGTGGTGTCAGAAGCTTTTGTCCGCTTCTTTGTGGAGATTGTAGGACACTACTCTCTTTTCATGATTCCTGCTGAGAGGGAAGAAAAGACTCTCCAGCGGGAAGCTTTCCGAAAGTCTGTTTCTTCAAAGAGCCTTCGGCGGTTCCTGGAAGTTTTTATGGAGACTCAGATGTTTGGAGGCTTCATTCAAGAACGAGAATTACGAAAACAGGGAGCCAAAGGTGAGGTAATCCTCTGTCTCCTCAGCATCATCATACTGATAGCAGCTCTCCAGAATAGAACTTTCCAATCCTTTTTTTGGAGGGGCCCGGGATAGAACGTGAGACCTTTTATCTGAAAAATATGAATTGTCCTACTGATTCCTGATATTTAGTGGATCAAGTACAGTCTTAGTCTGCTTTGCTTTTTAAAACATAATAATGTTCCCAAATTGGTAGTAGCAACTGAAACTAACAACCTTAACACTTAGTCTTTCTTGTTATGGTAGTTGTTCTTGATCTCTCTAGGTTTGTTTGAGGTACGTGCCCAGGAATATCTGGAGACCCTTCCCAGTGAAGAACAGAGCGGAGTTAATAAATTCTTGAAAGGATTAGGTAAGGGATCCAAGCAAGTGCAGCTGCTGCAGTGATCATGATTTTAATATTTTTTTACCTTACCATGTTTAAATCACAGACACAATTGTGCACTTGTTATCTATGTTTTAGATCAGTGGTCCCCAATCTTTTGGGCATTGTGGACCAGTTCCATGGAAAACGATTTTTCCATGGACTACGGGTGGCATGGTTTCACGCGATACCTAAATACCATGCATGTGCAGATGAAGCTTTGCTTACTTGTGTGGCCCAGTTCTTAATGGGCTGTGGACTGGTACTGGTCCGTAGACCGGGGATTGGGGATCCTTGTTTTAGATAATGTAACATAAGGCGGGGAAAAGCATTTTTTTAACCTGAAAGGTCTTCCAATATTAACTATAGTAAACATTTGCTGTAAATACTTCCTGCCCATCACATCTCTGCTTAATAAAGTAGACTTTGCACATAAGTTAATGGTGAACATATAAGTTTAATAATCTTTATAGAATCACCTCTAACTTCTGTGGCCACAGTCTCATGACATTTCTAAAACAGTCCAAAATTTTCAGAGCATAAATTCTGCAAGTCCAGGAGATCTCAGGTGCCATGGTAGGGGTCATTTTGCAATCTCCCATGAAGGCATACTCAAAAGATGGCAGAGCTGGGGACCTCTGCTATTTGGCCTCAGCTCCATGGAGATGCTCACGTGGAAAGGTTGGAGACTCAAAAACGTTGTCTTTTCTGCAGGTAAAGAAGTTGTATTTTTCTTTCCATAAATATTGTCTCTCTTCTTTCTTTTCCCACCATTCCTCTCTAGGTAGCAGAATGAAATTTCTTCATAAGAAATAAGTGTTTGGAGCACCACCAGGCGTGGAGAAGAGGATATCTCTTCTAAGCATTTCAGCAGACACAACATGGACCCCTTTTGTTTTGTTTTTCCATTTTAAAACCAAGTCCAGCTTAGCCTGCTCCAATGGTGGAGAAACCTCAAGAGACGCAGTGTTTAAAAGCTGCATCTGGGTGAACTGCTGACCTGTGGCCTCCTATACACCATGGTGCAGAAGGGGCCTCCAGGATTGGCTGGATGAAGAAAATGCACTGGACAAACCACTCCCCAACCTCTCTGTTCACTGGCCCGTGTGCAGGTTTTGTGGTGATTTTTAAGACCTTAGCTATTACATTTTTTTGAAAACGTTTCTTATTTATACTGAGGTTAGGAAGATATTAGGCAGAGACATTTGTTCCTTTTACTCTCCCAAGGGATGACAGCAAGGATAGGCACTGCCATAACTTGGATTGTATAATTGTAAAATGACACAAAGTGATACAGAAATAATGAGAAGAGAAAGAAAAGGCAAGGAAAAGAAGAGCTCGTACACACCAGTAGGTGTGGTGGTGGTGGGGACTACTGAATCCATTCAGAATTTTATCCAACTGACCACTGTGTGATGACTTACTGCCCCTTCCTGGACTTTGGGACATATGTCCACACCTTTCTTCAGAGTAAGTCTGATTTGTTGCAATTGGAAATATGTGTTTATTAAAACAAAAAAGCACGTGCTTAGTTCCGAATACTGTATGTAGCTTGTTTTGTTTGTGTGTATCTTCTGGAGTAAAATTCAGAGGATGATTTTTAGGGCAGAAGCAGTCCTTTGAAGAACCTTCCGCTCACCCCCCTTCCCTAAGGAATTGAAAAAATACCTGAAAGCCTTTAAGGGTGGATTTGATCAGACATGTCAAACTCGCGACGTATCAGAACTTTTTCCCCATTGCCGGCAATGGGGTGGGCGCAGTTTCCTCGTGATGCATCCGGCCCGCGGGCTAGCAGTTTGACACCCCTGGATTGGATGGTTTTGGTGATGGAATTATAGGCGCCCCCTAGTGACCAGGGCAGTTGTGGAATACTTGCCTTCTATCATTGCATTCCTCTTGAGTTATTCAATGTTTGTTTACACTGCAGGGCATATTTTTTTAATTCTGTTACCTTTATTTACACAACAGTGATATGTGTGAAGTAACACTATTGATAAGTACCATTTCTGACACACAGATCACACCCGTGATGTGAAATTTGTGGCAACCTGTTTGTACCTTCAAGTCAACAAAGCATAAAGGCGCCGAGACAGGGTTAGGCACTCATCCACACCTTTCTCTTTCTGTAAATCTAAATAAAGAGGACTTTTTGTGCTCTTGCCCAGAGTAAGAGATTACCTTGAAATCTCAACTTCAAGGAAGGCTGTTCATTGTTATGCCACCATACATGGAATTCCAGTTTTAGGTGTGACAACTAATGGGAATGCACTGAAGGGTAATGCTCTGGAGAAAAGTGGAGGCTGACCACTGGTGGTCTCTTGCTTAAAATATTACGTGTGTACGAACTCCGCTCCAACTTCTACTAAGCTTTAGCCTAGTGGTAAAAAAAGGGGAAGCAAAATTGTACCTAAGATATATTCAACAGCTTGATATATTCAACTCCAGTATCGTTCAGAGCTGGAAAAACTTATTTTTAGAAATTCTGGAGAGTCCCTGAAACACATATATGCACAGCCCCCATGTTACTCCTTTTCAGAATAAACAGTGTTATACAAAATGAAAAACAAGAAGTAATAAGCAAAATAAATAAAAGGAACATGGTAAGGGGAAAAAAGGAAATCTGTTTGAAGTATTCACTGCTCCTCCAAGGTGAAATCATCAAGATAAAGGCATCCTCTTCTTTTATAACACTTTGAATAATGCAGGTAAACTATAGCTTGGAAAGATTGCTTATTCAGCAGCAATTTTCATGGTCAAGATCATTTATTTAATTCATCTCCATCCCAATATACATTGAAATATTTTGGATCAACTTTTCACTGAGACTGTATATTTTATCTTTCCTGGATACTCCGGAAGAAACCACCTGGAAAGGAAAAATACAGTCCATGAAGAAAATATTCTGGTTGAGTTGAGTTATCAGCAGCCACATCTTCCCGAGTGAACTTATCACTTATAGGGATATAGGAAAAACTTGGCTGGAATATGCCCAAGGATTGTAGTATTATAATGGTGAACAATGACAGGTCATTGCTTATGTTAAAACCACCCCTCGTAGATCAGAGTAAGGCTGAGGACAATGACGCATGTGAGCATTCCTTTTCCTTCTATCCTTCCCTCCAAAAGTTGGACTTTCTCCAGTCAAAAGATGGGAATACCGCTGGAGCAACACTGAAGATTACAAGTGGATGTCAATGACATCTCCTGCCTAGTCACATGAACACGACTATGGAGAAATGCAATTTATACAGTTTATACAATTAAACAGGAAACTATTTTTAAATATGGCTAGGGCCACCACAAGATCAAACTTGAGCTGGATTGTTGAGATCAAGGCTGGAAGGACATTGTGGGTGCACTTTTAAAAGGTTAGACCTTGGGGGGGGTTGTGTTTTTTAATCTTGCGGGAGAAATTGATGCCAAAACCAATGGCAAAAACTTTCACATGTGGTTTTTTAAATACAGGAGGAAGAGTACAAAGATTGCAGAAACATCCTAAATCTGTCAAGTTTTCATTCCATGTGGCCTTACAGCGCCCTCTGTTGCCTGTTGCTTGAAGACAGCATTTGAAACCATAATTCACCCGTCTCTTACTGGGCACTATGTCAAATCTGATTATAGACATCAATATTACAGAGGATGTATTTGTACATACCTGGAAAGCTTTCACTGATCTCTTAATTTTCTGTGGAAAAGTTAATTTTCTTCTTGTATTAAGGATCATAATGTGTAATATGGAACGATCCAGATGTAAGGGCATTTATTTAAATATTCAGATTAGTCACTACTATTCCTTCAAAAGTTGGAAGCAATGTACATAATTCACTCTCTTTCAGTGTTTCTCCATAACATCTCGCAAGGAAGGTTGGATTGAGAGAGAGAGATAGTGACTATCCTATTGAGGGCCCTTTGGTATTCTTTGAGCTTGGCTGTTTTCTTGCAGACATTTCATTACCAAACTAGAAAAATCCGCAAGAAAACAACCAAGCTCAGAGAAGAGCAAAGAGCCCACAGTTCAACCCTGAGCTTCAAATATTCTTTCATACTGATAACCCACTGAACTGGTGAAGTTGAATTTTATTTTGGTTCTTCCCCCGCCCATCGGTCCTAATACAATATTTTAGCCACTACATCACATTAGCGCTCAGTGAGAACAAGCACTGTGCTAAGGAATATTTGAAAATGGGAGAAGAATCCCATTCCCTTGTATTTTCATGTTCTGCTTAGTTTATGTGGTACCTGTTTGTGGGGAAACTGCTTTGAAGTCACACCTTCCCTTTGGAAGTTTGCAAGTATAGAGGCCCAAGCAGCCTTCACAATCAGAGGGTTTTCGGCAGGATTTCAACTGGATCCCAGGGCAGGAATACTGAGAAGGAAATAAAAGAAACAGCAGATAACGAGCCTTGTTCGAAAGTAAGAAATGTTGTCTCAATAATTCATTACCTTGTATAGTGTTTCTTGCTAGACTTGTATTTTTATGGTGATCATGATCCAACTTAAGTAAAGCCTAAGGAAGTTGATGCTGATAGACAAACTCTGTCGCCAAGGTGACAAGGGATAAAACTTTTTCCTACAATGTTTAGATATTATTCAGGAGCATCTTAAACAGATGCCTCCCTAAATAATAATAATAATAATAATAATAATAATAATAATAATAATAATAATAATAATAATAATAATAATAATAATAATAATAATAATAATAATAATAATAATAATAATATTAAGTTGGAAGGGACCTTGGAGGTCATCTAGTCCAACCCCCTGCTCAGGCAGGAAACCCTATACCATTTCAGACAAATGGCTGTCCAGTCTCTTCTTAAAATTTTTCAGTGTTGGAGCATTCACAGCTTCTGGAGGCAGTCTGTTCCACTGATTAATTGTTTTAAATGTCAGGAAATTTCTCCTTAGTTCTAGGTTGCTTCTCTCTTTGATTAGTTTCCATCCATTGCTTCTTGTCCTGCCTTCAGGTGTTTTGGAAAATAGCTTGACTCCCTCTTCTTTGTGGCAACCCCTGAGATATTGGAACACTGCTATCATGTCCCCCCTCGTCCTTCTTTTCATTAAACTAGACATACCCAATTCCAGCAACCGTTCCTTATATGTTTTAGCCTCCAGTCCCCTAATCATCTTTGTTGCTTTTCTCTGTACTCTTTCTAGAGTCTCAACATCTTTTTTACTTCGTGGTGACCAAAACTGGATGCAGTATTCCAAGTGTGGCCTTACCAAGGCATTGTAAAGTGGTATTAACACTTCACGTGATCTTGATTCTATCCCTGTATTAATGCAGCCTAGCACTGTTTTGGCTTTTTTGGCAGCTGCAGCACATTGTTGGCTCATATTTAAGTGATTGTCCACTAGGACTCTGAGGTCCCTCTCACAGTTACTACTGTTGAGCAAGGTACCACCATCCTATACTATACCTGTGCATTCGGTTTTTCTTGCCTAAATGTCGAACCTTACTTTTTCACTGTAGAATTTCATTTTGTTAGATAGCACCCAGTGTTCAAGTCTGTCAAGATCCTTCTGTATCTTAAGCCTGTCATCTGGAGTGTTGGCTATTCCTGCCAGCTTGGTAATCATTAGAGTATAGTTAGTCCTTGCCTTATGAACACAATTGAGTCCAAAATTTCTGTTGCTAAGCGAAACATTTGTTAAGTGAGTTTTGCCTCATTTTACGACCTTTCTTGCTGCAGTTAAGTAAATCATTGCAGTGGGTAAGTTAGTAATATGGTTGTTAAGTGGATCTGGCTTCCCCATTGACTTGGCTTGTCAGAAGGTCACCAAAGGTGATCACATGATCCTGGGACATTGCAACCATTATAAATATGAGTCAGATGCCAAGCATCTGAATTTTAATCACATGACCACGGGGATGCTGCATGCTTGTAAATGTGAAAAGTGGTCATAAGTCTCTTTTTTCTGTGCAACTTTGAACCGTCACTAAATGAATATTTCCTCCTAATAAGAGAATTAGAATTGCACAATTCAGTTATGGCCACTCTCAATAAAAGTAGTTTTAGTTTTCTTGTAGTAATGGTTTCTTGGTTTGCTCTACCCTAGTGGGTCTGACACTAACCTTTATTAGCTAAACCTTATTACAGTCGCTTTTGTCAAAGGAGAAGGTGTCATTCCTTTTTAATAGGGCAATCTTGTTGTGCATGCACTGCTTTCATCTTTATTCTAGAATTTCAGTTAGAAACATTGCATCTGTTGGCTTTTGGGTTGTCATCTATTGGCTTTAAGGAATGAGGATTAATTTAAGGCAGGGCAGTTTGCAAATATTTCCTTAATACTGTGGCTTGATGAAATAAAAAAAAATCGTGTGTAATTTTTCTAACTGCAGTTTGTCCCTTCGGCACATTTAAGTGCCACAACACCATTCCCCTGCTAATCTGACAAAAAAAAAAAAACTCAACTACAAAGAGCATTTTATTTCCAGCAAGAATTGGAAGAGCATTTCAGCATCAGACCAAAATTAATTAAAAAAGATATTACTCACCGTATCTGTATTAAAGTTCCCGTGGCCTTCCAAGTGGGCCTCAAGCCCTTGACTCTTGCTATTTGGAGGGGAGAGTGGGAGAAAAGGCCTCTTGCCAGTTGGCTTCTGCTTACTGGTTCCCAGTTGCAAATTGCTTGTTGCTTTGTCATACGCTCCATCACCTACCGGTAGTTGAGTTTCTCCTTCTGCAGCCTTCCACAATCTAGGGGAAGACTGTTTCCTCCCTTCTGCTTCTTTGTCTTTGTGACTGGGGTGGAGATTCTTAAATTTTGTAGCTCCAGCAGGGTTGACTTCAGCAGCCAGCCCTTTCCCAGTGTGAATCAGAAAATACAACAGTATGGAAAGCACAAGGACGGTCATTCTAGATACCTTCATACTGTTGTCTTGACTGTTCTTGCCCAACTATCTAAAGGGATGCAGTTGCCTTGGAGCCTGTTGGAGCAATTTTAAACAACCACACACACTTGAGTGTGTCTCTCTTCTTTTCCATGCATGGATGGTGGAAGCTTTTTATGCTTTCAGTGTCCCAGCTCATCCCCCTCACCCCATCATCTTTTACACAAACGCACACCTTTTTCCCCCCTTTGTTATGATATTAATTTTGCGTCTTGTGTCACTTCCTTGGAAAATTTCTTCCTCCTCCCTCCCCCTTTCTCCATCCCAGTAACACCCAACTTCTTTGCAAAGCATGTACACTCATTCAGGCATGTGCCTAATGCCATCTTTCTCCTTCATTGTGATCATGGAACATTTACTACTCCTCCCTTTTTTGGGGATGAGCAGGTACTCGAAGGCACTTTGAGAACTTTGCTAGTTGAAGAAAGAATGAAAGAAAACATTCTGCCTAATGAGCAAGTGATGAGTACATCTTTTTCCCCCTCTGTTCTTCTGTAGAAGTATTGATCATTCCTGGGGTTTTTTTTTTTGTTGTTCCTCAACTGATTCAACTAGGAACAAACAGATCGGTCCATGTCAGTGGCAGTGATAATCCATTCTGTCCCATTGTTTCTACCAAAACTGTTACCATATTTCTCCCTCTAAAATATGGATTTTTATGTATTTTTGAGACTAGCACAGCACCTCTAAATTAGAAAATATGACCTTTGAGGAATATTTGAGTTTCAATTTATGCATTAATTTAGGTAGATTGTTTAAATACTTGTTTAAAAATACAGCCTAAATCAAGTTCTCCAGCATCACTGAATCATTTTTGCTCTGTTAGAATTATGAGTAAAGGCGTTTTAGGTATACCTCATCAAAGATAATATATCTTCCAATACTGTACTGTTTTAAATAAATATGGCCATTTAGGGAGAGCTTTGGAAGCCCTGCACAAAAATGAGAATATTACTCCTCCTGATAACAGCATCTCTAACCAGAAGCTGCACAACTTTGCCTAGTATATTGCTTATTCCCACAACAATTAAAAGTAGGAACCATGCAGATTAAGGAAATACCTGCAAATGTGCATGATCAAGCGTAGATATAATTCTCTTTTTTTTTTAGTACAAGGCTTAGGTTGAGCTTTGCTGTAGATTTTTTTTTATTTTTATTAGTACATAGTAAACAGAATTAGAATAATATAGAATAGGGCACAGGGAGATTCAGGCACTCTTTTTTCCCTTCCACCTGCAAGGACTGGAGGAGAAACAGAAGAAAAACTTCAACTCCAGCTAAGACAACTTCCATATCTTGGCCACAGGCCATCTCTGAGCCTTGAGCCTTGCCAAGCTCACGCTGGTGCTGCTGATCTCTGGAGAAACAGGCTCATAAGAACGGAGGGAAAGACTGGCTGAGAGGAGGCCCATCCGGACGCAGTTATCCGTGTCTTCCCCAGCAAGCAGCCCAGTGATGATTCCAGCCATTAAGCTGCAAAGAAAAGAAGCAGTTTGGGTTGAACTAGACCAGATATGTCAAACACAAGGCCCGGGGGCTGGATGCGGCCCGCGAAGTGGTTTCATGTAGCCCACGAAGCCATCCTGGAAACAGGGAACGGCCCCCGCTGCCTTGGCCCTGGCCCAGGCCAGCCGGGAGCCAATGTATAATTTTGTGGTGGCCATCTTGGCACTTTCCCCAGTGGACCATGCCTTGGCACTTGCCCCGGTCCCATCCCCTTCTGCCAGAGACCCTCAGATCTGTCCCACTCCCCCATAGGCACCCTTGACGTGAATGATGTAGAACTGGCCATGCCCATCCAGTAGGCCACACCCACTCCATCCACGCCCACCCAGTAGGCTGCACCCATTCTGGCCACCCCCACCCACCCCCACAGGGCAACCGCAATGCTGATGCAGCCCTCAGTGAAATTGAGTTTGACACCCCTGAACTAGACCATAAACTAGGATGGGGGATAAGCATGGAATATGAGTGTTAAGAACATTTTCACCACCTTTGCTTCTCCCTGTTCTCTGAAGTAACTTCATAGTATATACCTTTCCATATATCTTCCAGATACTAGCCAGCAGCACCCCAAAAAATTATACCTAGCGAGAACCATCCATGCTCTTGCTGTCCCATTTCCTGACCAATAACTCTGGTGGGAGGGGGAAGGAGATGGCAAAGCTTCCCCTTGGGGCAACAATGGAGGATGTGGACTTTTGACTTGCAGATGGAAAAGGGGGAAACTCATGTTGACAAGCAGAGGCAGGAGTTTTCTATCAGTTAGAAGCCAACTGGTCCACAGATTCAGAACATTGCAAAATCTTTTTGCAAAACACTGTAAGAGGATATGAGCTGCTTCTTTATCAATTCAAGTTCTCAAGAAGTCCAGAGGGGCATTGTCAATATCACAAGAGCATGGTCTTTGCATACGGAAGGTATCTCTGCTCATCATTCCTGAGCAACTAAGTGCATGCCGGGAATTACAATTCAGGAAGATCTGGAGGACCACTGTTTTTCAATGCCTTCCAGATAAGGAGATGACACCCTTATTCTCAACATAGTTAGACATCAGGAGCAGGGCATGTGAGCTCCTGCAGCCAGCAATAAAATTACAGAGTGGAAAATGCCAGATGGGTTACTAACTTCAATTCTGTTGTGGCCAGAAGTGCAAAATAAAGCACCCTCCGAGCAAAGGCTGCTGAAACTCTGCTTGAACACATCCAGTGTGGACCCTTATCCAACAATAGTTAAGAAAGTCAATAAGAAGTTCAGCCACTGGGTATTAATAGATTTTTTAAAAAGCAATTTGATATTCCACTGTCAGAAACACAAGACACACAAAAACCTGCCCAGAGTTTGTACATAGCAACAAAGTTCCCTTGTGCTTTATCCTGTGTCCCTCCTATGTCCACCAATCAATCAGTCAGGATATTCTTTTTAATGGAATTGTCTCACTATTCCTCCCAAAACAAAAGAAAAACACAAAAAATATCTCTCTGGTTGGTCCATTCTGAACAAGTGAGTTAATGGTTTATCTACAGCCAAAGTCAAATTGGACACAGAGGGGAGCCATGGTGGTGCAGTGGTTAGAATGCAGTAGTGCAGGCTAACTCTGCCCATAGCCTAGAGTTTGATCCTGATGGACTCAAGGTTGACCCATCCCTCCGAGGTTGGTAAAATGAGGACCCAGATTGTTGGGTACAATATGCTGATATTGTAAACCACTCAGAGAGTGCTATAAATCACTATGGAGCGGTATATAAGTTTAAGTGCTATTGCTAAGTGCTAACTCAAGAGCATAGCCCAAATATGATTAAACAAATAAACAAGTTATCAATTGCAGCTGGATAGTTCCCAAACCCTGACCATGTCATCAACCACCTCAGTGAGAGGTTGTACACATGATTTGTCATGGCAAAAGGGAGAATTAGTTTAACAATAGAACTGAAGCAGCTTTATATTCCCTCTGTCATGGGCTGGAGATGAGATGGAGGTAATGTAGCAAGGAGATATATTTTAAAAATATTTCTCAAGGCATCTTCATGTCACAGTAAGTGGGACATATATAACATACTATTGTTTCTGTCACTATTGGACAAGAAAGAAATGTACAGAACCATGACAATTTTCTTACATGGTCTCTACTGGCCCTTCTTGCTATATTTTATAGCAATTTAGGTAACTTAGTGCCAGAAATATGAATAGATTAGTACAAAATATACACATATCTTGTGTACTGAATCACATCAATTAAAATAGTATTCAGTACATGAAATAGACTTGAATTGGACAGCCCAGAATTACCCTCTACATTAATAAAAGTACCTGATGCTCCTGGAAAAGACATACTAAAAAGTTTTGTGGGGTTTTTTTTACAACAGTTGTGTCTCCAAGCACATGAAGCAAAGCTTCAATTGTCTTCCCAAAATGTAACCATAAAATATAACTCCATGTATTTTTCTTTCACAACAATGCAAAAAAAGTGACAGCTTACAACAAGCTTTCTGTCTCTCACCATGTCCAAATAAATATTTGGGCTAGTGCTTTCCTTAGCAATGCTGCATACCTCCATGCGCTGTTATGTTGTCACAGCAACCTAAGTGTTAAAGATCTAACAGAGGGAGGTGGAACACTGTACAGCCATGGCACACATTCAATGAACAATTAGCAGTATATACAGTACCTATCACCAGCTCCAGAGACATTCACTATCTCTTCAGTGGGGACAGGGAGCGCTGGGTAGTGAACAGCACGTAATTCTTCTGTAGCATTCTGTAAAATGAAATGGGAGAATTCAAGGAGCTAGGCCTGGAGACAACTGTAAGGTGCCCTCCTGCTCTTCTGATAAATACTAAAATTCTGTGTAGGTAAAGGTGAACATGACACAAGAGGAAAATTTCCTTACTCACTATCAAGCCTGATTGGAGAAAAGTGATGGTATGAATTGAACTCACAGCCCTCAAGTATCACAGTTGAAACAGGGGAACTGAGCAGGAGAATTGACTATAACCAACAATTGAAAAGGAAGAAGCAATGAGAAGAGGCACTATTCCCCATATTAAAGTGTCCGTTTTCATGGTTACAAACACAAATCCATAATTTACAAATGATGAGAATGGACTTTTTCATTTTCAGATGTTTGAACTTTTAAAGGCAAGTTATCAGTCCTCACTATTAAAGGGAAGATTTCTGCATGGTCTTCTGAACTTTCAAATCCAAAGAGGGACTGGTGTTCTAATTTTTTTCCTTTGTCTTTATAGTTTCATTTCCTTATCCGTAACAAATACCTAAAGGCATTTCCATATTGCCATTCTATCAGTTACCATTTCTACTACCAAATCCTTCAAAAGCAGCTAGGAGATGATCTGTAATTACCTTCCCCATTGCCAAATACACAATGCTGAGAACAAGAAGAATCACTGCCACATTCCAACCCATCACAGGGCATTTTCTCAATTATTCTATATATTGGGAAACTAATAATCTACAAGTCCCTATAGCTGTAACATGTGAAAGAAAATGCTAGTTTTACTATTTTCCCATCTGTTTTTCCCATATTTTTACCTCATAGCATGTTTGAGGGTGCAGAGAGACACTTCCACCCTTGCTTCGGCCACACAGCAGGACTCCATGTTGACCAAGAGTTACTACCACATAGTGTAGTCCTCTCAATAAAGGATAAGCCAGGGCAATAGCAGTCTTGATAATGTCCTCCACCTTTGATGGTAGATCTGTAGGTTCCATTCCAGAAATGTAAAGAGTGAAACCCAGTCAGATAGCATTGAATTCATAATCAAACCATTCATTTGAGGTTTTTCAATATCACTAAGATGGACTAGAAATTAGAATTAATTATTTACTAAATTTCAGTTTCAAAAGAAATATGGGAATGAATGAGAGAAGGAAGTTTATCAGTAACTATATCTGAATGGTGCCATTGACAATAATTATCTTCACAATAACAAATCTTTGAGATAAGTTGGTCTGCAACCATATAACTGGCTCCAAATAATCTATGGCCAAAGGGAATTAGGGTTAGTTTGTAGTTGCTATGGGTTGTTTTTTTTTTTCAAGAACTGTCCAATTAGAGCTTTCTATGCACTGAGTTTAAATCCTTTGGAAGTTCAAATCCTGTCATGGTGGAATTCTTTCAGAGGTCTGAACACAATAAAAAAAGGAAATTGTTTTGGAATAAAATGAAAAAAAAATATTTCCAGATTGACTCCCAGGAATGGTAAAAAGCAGTAAATTGTTTAACTGAACACATCTATTGGGATAGACTTTTTATCCCCCACATCCTACATTTTAGTTAAGCCCTGGACAGTGACATGAAGAAATTCTACAATCTGAGAGTGGCTGCCAGTTATCTCAAACAAAGGGTAGGCTGATATCAGATTGCAACGCAAAATTTACAAAAGACCACCGAGAAGTAATTTACTAGCCTAGTGGGTCACTTTGGTATATTTTAAATATAAATAATCAATGAAAGTTGCTTTTTTCACATTCTCCTGATAAAAAACAACTTTGCTCCAGATAGAGCAATTCATTTCGCAAAAAGTAAAAATTCAAAAACTGTGAGAGGAGTAGCAATATTTATCTAGACATACTCCATCTTTATAGCTGACTGTAGACTTAGAGTCTTTTCCTACTGCTTGATCAAAATGTTATTTACCCAACCCTGAGTCAGCAGGACAGTGTTATCATGAAAAGTTCTTTATCTACTGCCCATCTCTATTCTGTTGCACCAGCCCCTTAGCCTGATTGCTGAAATATGCTATTCTAATTTTGTTTGGGATAATTTGGTTTCCTTCCTTCTCTTCAGCATTTCAGCAGCTGACCAGAAAAATATCCACCAATCATACTGCGTTTCAGTGCAAATTAGGAAAAGCCCTATGCGTAGTGGTGCCTCATTCATCATGGCTGGTTTAGAAACCAGGAAACACACAAAGGGGAACATAGCTCAGTGATAGATTCTTGTTAGATTAATCTAGGGATCTAGAGATAAGTTAGTTATCTCTAATTAATTTAGAGATAATTTTCGTTATCTCTAAAAATTTCCCACTAGCAACAAAGACTTTGGAGAGCCAATCCAAAGCAGAAAGATGGTATTAAACTGTTACCCAGGGGCTGATAATGTGTAAAGTTTAATAGTTCCAAGCTATAATATACCGCCCTGAGTCCTATGGGAGAAGGGCGGTATACAAATTAAAATAATAATAATAATAATATAAATTATAAATAATTCTTTGTTACTGTCATTCCCAAATGTGCTTCACCTGTTGGCACAGGATTTCCCAGGGTCTGACTGATGGCTCTGAGTTCCCGAAGATTGGGTGATACGCAGGTCAGACCTTTCCAACTCTCTGAAAGAAAAGGCTTTGAAGCTTTGTTCACATCTGTAGGTTCATAGTACACTTGAAAAAAAGCATTGCATTTGGTCAGTGATTCTGACAAACATAAAGCATCATATTTAGTCAAAAAGCCTCTATCTTTGCTTTTTTTGGATTAAACATAGCTTTGAAGTTTTAGTTAGAGATTCTTCTTATGGTCATTCAAAAGGATTAGGCTGCAATCAGTTTGCCTAGATAAGATGCACCTATCTTGCTAATTGTCTGATTAGCACAAAACTACTTTCTTCCCCAAAACTATTTTCTTCTCTGTTGAGTTCTGGATGTCAAGTTTGTCCAAATACTTCTCCCTTAATCTGTGAACAAACTAATATATTTCTTAGCTGTCTAATACTGGCTGAATGTTAGAATTAGAAATAGGACAGATTACAGGTAGTGCTCATACAAATGCTATAGATACATTTCACAATAAAAATTAAAACTCAAACACTGCGACCAAAATTGTTGGAACCATATGACATCATCCAACTCTACTTCAAGCACTGGGTTATCCAGTGCCAATATGCCAAATGGGGTGCCCTGGACAGATTCTGAAGCTTCTCCCTGTAAAAGCAGGTTTAACAAGCTTGAAGGTCTCAAATACAGAGCAAATAACAATCAATCCACCAGTCAGTGGTAAAGGCAAAAAGGAATACTATTGTCTAGAAGGAAGCAACAACATAATTCAGATGTGAGATGAATTATGTCAGCTTCCATGAGATTACATTTTTAAATAGCATCATTTGGGGGGCTCTGGAAGTTGCATTGGAGCACCCAGATTCTGCTCCTTTGTAATGATAACTATTAAAAAAGTAGAGGAATGAGTCTGTATTTCATGCCTGTGCCATCAAGTTTCTTCTTACCTGTTAAGTGTTGTTCTCTGGCAATCTGACAGATGTACTCAATGGTAGAAACTGGCACATTCCCATCTATGCATATTATTGGAGCCAAGCACAGATTCTCCTTGAACTGTGACACCTGAAGGGAATCGCAGGAGACAGTTGACAATGGAAAAACCAAGTAGATTCTATGAATGTGACATCCCCTCTCAAAGTGCAGGATGCAAATCTTGTAGTAGGTCGGTCATGTGCCATTTGGGCAAGATAATCTAGCAGGTCCTTTGGAAGGAGTGTTATCCTATATCAATATCATCACTTGAATGAAGGCGAAGGCATGAAGATGAGGTCTCCTTTGCATTAAGCTCTATTTCCATGTAGATTTTTCACAGTAACAGAATTAGTTTGCCATTGTCTTCTAGGATGTTGCTTGACATCTGCATCTAGCCTACAGCCCCTAGGTCTTCCAACCTGTTTTATACAATTCAATATTCTCATATTTACATTTCTCCTCACCATGTGCTAATATTTTTTATTATCCCACAAATTTACTACTGTCTGAATGAGTTAAAGTTGGCAATCAGAGTGTGAGTCTCTCCTCCTTTATCTGAAGAATCGGGGCCTCTTCCTTGTGGCCAAATTAATATGCATTCCTCAAGTCTCTGAAGGGCAGAAAAGTATGCCTGAATAATTTGTACTGCCAATCTGAATTTATCTCCCTTGGTAATGAAGCTTACAAGAAGATTGTGGATTATACTGTCTTTGTTTCCGCTTTTACCCAGCATCACCAACCTACGAAGACAACAATCACATTTTTTTCCTTCTTAGAAGTATATCAGGGAAGACCTGAGTGAATCTGGACTAGTATCTGGAACAGAGGTTTTAGATATCTTTCAAATTATTAGATCACTAGTGACAGATTACTAATTCAGAATTGCTCCATGTGGTAACCTGCCACTTGAATTCTTTCTGAACATGGGTCTTCTGAAAAACCAATAGAGTGTGTCGCCCAATAGTTTGACTGACAGGTAGTGGGGCAAAGAAAGAATATAGGAATGAATGGGGGGTTGCCCACAAGGTACATCCAGAGACCTTCCTCCTGCTTCATCTCAGACCTATCCTCTCTCATATCCACCTATCAGCTGAGCTCTTTTTGCTTACAGGTTTACGACTCATTCTTGCTACCACTTTGGCTACAAAGGTAAGCTGACAGTACTGAAGTCAATTTCACCAGTTGCCAAATAACTGGTTAAATGGTGTAGGGAAATACAATAATAACAACTAACTGCATAGTAGTAAGATAGCAGACTTTGTATAGACCAGTGTTTCCCAATCTTGGCAGCTCTAAAAATGTGTGGACTTCAACTCACAGCCATGGCTGACTGGGCAATTCTGGAAGTTGAAGTCCACACCTCTTAGAGTTGCCAAGATTGAGAAACACTGGCATAGACAGATATTCTGCTTTGAGTTTTGCTGGGTTATTGCTTGGTTGATGTTCCAATTCACCTTGTGAACATAGCTACTACATTTCTGCTGTTTCAGTAGAGGAGGATGTACATCTTTTATCTCTCAGACAGAATGTTCTAGGATTGACAAAAAAACCTCCAGCCATTAAAAAAGTCACCTGCAAAGCAGCTTTCAACTAGGCTATATTTAAGTTGAAAAGTAACATTTTCACTGCAATGAAAAATCTATTTTATATAGAATAAAAATAAGGACCATGGTTTCAAGCTAACTAGGTGTATATTTTTCTGCCTCTGCTACATAACAGCAACACCTACCCATCTGTCAATGTTCAGCATGTGAAAACTGGAACCAAGCATGCACACAAGAATCCTCAAATTCCTAACCAGTAGTTCTTATTATAGAATCATAATGAAAGAGTTTCGGCAACTAGTGTTTCAAGCACAAATCCTACTGAACTATCAAGCCCTTTTGTGCCCTCTTCTTTGGCTGCCTTATGTACTTGGCTTCCACTTTGGGAAGAGGAAAACTCCATCTGTTCCTTCAACAGAAAACAGTCTGATCTATCATTGTGCTGTCCTTCTCTGACTGCTTGAGAATTAACTCCCACACCATCTGCCTGTCAGAAACATGTTAGGAAGAAAAAGAGAGCGCATATGAAATCGCCTTACATCAGATGTCCTATGTTTACACTTGAAAGTCAGACAGTGGGATTTGTAGTCCAAAACCAAGTTGCCTAACTCATGCTTTCTAATGCCAACATCCATCTTCTTCAATGTGATCTACCCAAAGAACAGTGCTTCTTTGCAGCATTTGTACAGCCCATAGCTGCATGATATAACCTGTGCAATGGAAGGATTTGTATATTCGCTCAGATATAAACTTTGCTGGCTTCTGTGCAGCCTAAACCATGCAAATGGGTGAGCTAAGGCAGCAAATCAAACTGACCATTTTGCTCGATATATTGCATTAGTGATGCTTGAGTAACAAGCTGATGAGACAAGTCTAACTTTGCTAAAGGAGAGTCTAACGGAGCAATCTGATAGTGTAAAATGGACACGGCTATGCTATGTACCGCCAGTCTTACAGTTGGGGGTTCCCCCCCTTTTTTCTTTTTCTTTTTAATGATTTAAGCTTCCTTTAGGGGTCATCTAACAGTCTTTGTTTCTGCATTAAAACTTGAGGAAACTGAGCTGCTGATTCTCAGAAAACATACTATCAAAACTAGCAACCCAAGTCAAAGTGGAATTCACTGTGACAGCCTGCACTGCACAGACACAAACCCAGCCTTGAGGTAGGTTTTCCTGTCTGCCCTGCAACCTGCTTGGTTAAAAGAACAGAAGGAAACACGAGAGCCCAGTGCTTGTATGGTTGAGGATGACAAAAATTCTGAGGACTTTTGTTGTTATTGTATAAGAAAAAAAATCACTTAATGGTTATTCCTGTCTCACTACCTTCATTTCTTTGGTTTAATTCTTTTGCACTCTGGTATTGGAGAAGACTCATGAAAATACTGAAACATCAGCAAATCATCAAACAACTCAACACAGAGTTCTCATTCAAATAACAAATGACCAGGTTCAAGTTATCCTACTTCAGACATATTATGTAAAGACCTAGATCTATGGAGAAGGCTCTAATTGTGGGAAAACTGGAAGGAAAAAAAAGAAGAGGATGACTAGCAGCAAGGTAAATGTCTATGGAGATTCTCAGTCATCTGAGTTATGGTTGTCCCAAAGGTGCTTTTTCAAAAGGCAACTGGACTTTGTTTTTCCTTGAAGACATTTCGCTTCTTGGATGAGAAATAAAATGTCTTCAAGGAAAAGCAAAGTTGCCTTTTGAAAATGCACCTTTGGGATAGCAGCAAAGTTTATAGGTATAATGGTGATGGGAGCACCACTGGAAGAACTTAAAAGGACCAGCTTAGGGACAGATCATCATGGAGAAAAAAATCTATGTTGTTGCTAAGAGTCAACAATGATCTGTTGGCATATAATCAAATCAACCATTTCTTTAGTAAAGCAAATGGGAATCTGAAGAGTGTGGTGATGCGGTGGGAAGAATGATCACTGTTTTTCCTTTCAAAAATGAATTTTCAATTTCTTAAAGATCTGCAATAAGTGATTTACTGACATGCATAATGCTTAAGAAAATATGATCAGCTGTTAAGAGCAGGGTCTTAGCACTTTTTTCAACTGTTTTCATTCATGGGGGAAAGGGTGGAGTTCCATCTGAATCACTCTTAATTGTCTTTTCCATTAGAGTCCTAAAATATGCCTCACTCATCAAGCAAGTCATGATTACTTGTATCTCCACAGGTAGGCACGTATTAGAAATCAACATCTGGAAGGAATTGTGGGTGGAGGCCTCAGAATTGAAAAAGTGGCTTTCAGCAGTCCATCATAAGCTCAGAAGAACAAATGCACTACAGGCAAAAGTGTCTAGAATAACGGATTACCTGGGCCAGCCTTGAGGGTAATGATTCACAGGGGCACAGCACTGGGGATTTTCCAGTAGGAAAACAAATCTGGAACTAGGAAACATCATTTCTACCACTCTAACATCTTTAGAGGGTGAATGAGACAGAAATAAATGAAAATGTAGCTAATTATAAAATGTAGATGTGATCAAATCTCCAGGGTAACACAGTACATGATATATCTTTTCAACTCTTTGTTTATTTAGGAGAAGGGTGGACAATGTAGAGGCTGCATGTGCCCTATCCCAACACCTGTCAGAACACACCAAGAGTTAGCAGGACCAATATTTGCTGGATCTTTTTGTTTTTGGGAAAAATTACAGCAGGCTAAAATTGGATGACACACGTGCCTTCAGCCTCCATATTTCATCTGCCAAAACCCTGATACAACAACATCTGCTTATTTCATAGATGTTATGTCATCATCAGTCACGCTCTCTGTGATCATTGAAAGCTCCTGGCTGCAAAATACTAGATATCTAAGTTTCACTTTATGAACTGCAAAATAGATAGTACTTCAGTTTAGTAAAACTTCCAAAATATATGATATCCATAATAGTGATGATGTAGTAATAGGATAATAACAACCTAAGAGGATGAGGGGGAAGGAGATTCTACTTTTACCCTTAGTGATGGCTGTAGGCTGTCTACTCATAGGCTCAGGACCAGGTGAGGACAACACTGTGTGACTAAGGGGACAACTAGTGTTGTCAGGACATGATTGCACTATGATAAAGTGTAAAATGAGGGCAGGATCTATGTTGAATATCAAAGAGCTGTACTCTGCTCTTAAGAAAGCAAACAATGACAATGATAAAAAAAAATCCAATCAATACCAGGCACTGTAATCAGAAGAATACAGGAAGATCTTACATATTGCTCTGTTATCTGCTGGTGGATTTCCATGTCTCCTAAACCAAAGGTAAGTTCTCCAGTGCCTGTGATTACAGCACAGTAAGTTGCTGTGTTGCGTCCTTTCAGTTGCAAGACTCCTCTCATATCCTTAAAGCAAACCAAGAGAGACAAAGTCAGCAACATTTTTTTCATTCTCAGAAATTGTTTTTCTACGCTTCACTTTTTAAACTCTATATAGCAGCTGAGTTGCAGGACTGCATCTTCCTATAGACTCCTTCCTGAATATCCCAGAAATGATATTCTGAAGAAGCTTCAAGAAAAAACAAAGAAAGTTACCTTTTGAAAAAGCATTTTTGGGACAACCATGACCGGGATGATTGAGAATCTTCATAGGCATCCTTCCTGAACACTTAGGACTTCACTGAGACACTTTCTGCTAGTCTGCTTCTCTATGGCACAACCTATACCACTTAACAATTTCATTTATTGATATTTATATGCCACTTCTCACCATTATTTTAAGTCATTTACAATCAAATTAATAAACAGTAACAAAGCTATTTTTTTAAGATATTAAAAACAAAACATGGACATAATTTGCAGTTTAGATACTGTCCAGGCAGAGGGCAAATATTTAAACTTCATATTCACCATGTTCAACTTGCAAATTAAGCTGTACAGCCCATGACTGAATATAACAACTTCCACGGTGTTGCCCATGTAGTCTGTTACTTAAAAGAAGATGCTGATTTGATGAATATTGGGCAAACAAAACATAAAAATTAAAACTCAAAGTTACAAAATTGAAAGAAAGGAAAACAAAGAACAAAAGCAAATAAAAGGCTTTAGTTTTGTTATTCACTGCCCAAGGTTAGTTGTTCTGTAAGATGAGTCGCTATATAAGTTGGATAAATAATAAAATAAAATAAAATAAAATTGGAAGTACATATATTATACTAAAATGTTGTAAGTTCAGAAGTTAACAATTGTCAAATGTTGCAAGCTACCATATGCCTGCAGTGTCGCAGAACAGATTCTGAATGCTCATCTTTCCCCATGACTGAGATAAAAACAGGCATCTTCCCAAGACGACTTAAGCAATCTAAAAAAAAGAAGAAGTAAAATGAACTAAACTTGGTTGACTATTTGAACAACAACATCAAAGTGAAAGGCTCTTGGGATTTCCTGCTCTTTACCTGCTGTGTCTTATCCAGGGCTTTTTTTGTCATAGAACGCCCAGAACGGAGTTCCGGCACCTTTTTTGGATGGAACCTTATAGGGTAGGCAAGGTGGGTTGTATGAGGTGTGTGAGTTCTGGCACCTTTTTTTTTTTTTTTTTAGAAAAAAAGCACTGGTCTTATCATTTAGCGAGCTGATAACAAGGAGGAAGAAGAGCTATAACTATTGGCATCTTGTCTTGTGCCATTGTAATGTAGAGAAATTAGCATATGATATACTGTAAGGGAGATTGCTGTGCATTATGGACAGTTATGTAGTTGTTCCATGGTTTCTGCTCAGCCACAAGGCTAGGTGGATGCCTCACCATTTTTACACTAAAATTCTAAATAATAGGTTAGCAGATAGACAGATGGATGGATGGTCTGCATTTATAAAGTTATCCAATTCAGCAAGCACTCTGGATGGCATGCAGATTAAAAACAGATACAATAGCAAAAGGCAAAGGAAATAATAACAGAACAGTAAATAAAATAGGGAGAAAATACATAATTTAACCAAAACTGATGCTGCACACCTTGACCTGTGGTTTCCAGGGATCATTTAAATCTTTCTGTACCTCTGGAGAGGATGTTCTTTCAAAGAAAGGTGCTAAGACAGATGCTGGAGATGGAATTTGAAACCTTCTGGATGCAAAGCATATGGTCTAGCCTTGAATTACAATTCTCTCCCATTTAGGGTTTAGTATGGGAGGACCAGAGAGGAACAGAGCCTTTCCTAAGTCTGTCAAAAATAATTTGATGAGAAAAATGATATGTGTTTTTTAACCTGAATTAATAAGGGAGCGATGAAGCCTATTTTCTTATCCCAGTAATTTTGCTTGCTGTGTCTCAAGAATAGAGTTTGGGAGAATAGAGTGGGTGTCGTAAGTTACAGTTCGGGGCTAGGGTTAGGGTTGAAACTAAACTACAATGCTATTATGAAGAGAGAGGAAGTATAGTACAGTACTTGTATGGAGACTGAGAGTGAAGCAGCTGACTCTTGAACAGCATACTTTGAATTATATTATTATTGTTTGTAGAACTTCCATTCTTCGAGCACATCGTAGCTGTCTCTCCCGCCTTTTTTCTTGTAACCATACCCAGTGCCCCGGATGCTTGCAGGTTGGATGTACTCCATTTTACTAATTGTATATATCATGAAGGCGAAACAAACGGAAAACAATATGATCTGTATTTTTATGATGGCAAGCTTTAAAGTGAATTATACAATGAAACAGCCTTCCCTGATCTGATGCAGTGCTAGCAGAGGGATGGGAGAAGTAGTCCAACAGATCTGGATTGGTCAGAGAAAACTATGCTAGAAACTGTATATACCCACTGTGGAAACAATGAGAATGAATTACCTGCTAGATTTTTGCCCACACCACCAAAGGATTGTCTCACTGTAGCTGGATTTGTCTGCCCCCCATCCTGAAAGTATAGAAGATAAATCAATAAAGTAAAGCAGAAATTGAAGTCCACTGGGATTCTGATTAGGTGGATTACAATCCTTTATTCTATACCAGGCGTCTTCAAACTTGGCCCTTTTATGACTTGTGGACTTCAATTCCCAGAATTCCTCAGCCAGCAACACTGGCTGAGGAATTCTGGGAGTTGAAGTCCACAAGTCATAAAAGGGCCAAGTTTGAAGACCCTTGTTCTATACAGATAGTGCTCGACATACAACAATTCATTTAGCACTGAAAAAAGTGACCTATGATCGTTTTTCACACAACCATTACAGCATCCCCATGGTCAAGTGATCAAAATTCAGATGCTTGGCCATGACTCATATTTATGATGTTTGCAGTGTCCCGGGGTCATATGATCACCTTTTGCGACCTTCTGACAAGCAGTCAACGGGGAAGCCCGATGCACTTTACAATCATATTACTAACTTATCAACTGCAGTGATTTGCTTAACAACTGTGGCAGAAAAAGTCATAAAAGGAAGCAAAACTCACTTAACTAATGTCTTGCTTAGCCACAAAAATTTTGGGCTCAATTGTGGTCGTATGTCAAGGACTACCTATATTTCCTATTCAATCCAACAGAAACTTAACTCATACCAATAGGGATGTGATGCTAATTTCTTTTTATCTCAGATTGTAGAATAATATTAGTGGCATCCACACTCACTACTTACTATTAGTCATTTTTAACTGGATATTTCACTTCTATATGCAATCAAAAGTATAAGTGTGATAAATGATCATTGTTAAATGAAGGAAAACATTGTTGGAGGTAGTTTGGCTCCATCTGTATCTACTTAGCTAATTCAGTGCTCATTTGGAACTGGTTTAAGAAATGCAGCTTGGGGAAAGTGAGTTTTGTGAACAGGCTCAGCTAACATATCTATATAACAATTGGCAAGCAATAGAGCAGAGGCAGAAGACAAAATTTTATGTAAATTTTCTAGCATAAATGGATTGAAGCAGCACTCAGGAATCTGTCACTCTCCAGATGTTGATAGGGAGGCTGGATCAGATACAGTATGAATTATAACTATAACCCACCATCTGGACAACCATATGCTTCTGATTATGTGTTAGATCAACGAATGCAAGAGATGGCAACTTTGCAAAGAAGTTGGAAAGTTGCATGCAACAGTATCTGAATTAATCTCTCCCCATTTTGCTTATAGTAGATATGGAACTTTGAAAAAAGCCCAATCGAAAATCTTATGTAGTTGTATAATAAGCTAAAATGAAACAAGCCACA